GACCCCATCTCCACAAAAAAATTTTAAAACCTAGTCAGGCATGGTAGTACACTCTCGTAGTCTTAGTTACTCAAGAGGCTGATTCAGGAAGACTACTTGAGCCAGGGAGGTCAAAACTGCAGTGAGTGGTAATCACGCCACTGCACTCCAGCCTGGGCAACAGGGCAAGACCTCATTTCAAAAAATAGAAACAAAACAAAATTGAAAAAAAAAAAAATCACTATAAGTTTGCTAGGGTAGATATTAACCACTGGGAAGGGGAAAAAAATGTTACAGAAAAACATTACAGACCCAGGCAGGGTGCAGTGGCTCATGCCTGTAATCCCAGCACTTTGCAAGGCCAAGGCGGGTAGATCACCTGAGGTCAGGAGTTCGAGACCAGCCTGCCCCACATGGTGAAACCCCATCTCTACTAAAAATACAAAAATTAGCTGGACGTGGTGGCAGACGCCTATAGTCCCAGATACTTGGGGGACTGAGGCACGAGAATCGCTTGAACCCATGAGGTGGAGATTGCAGTGAGCCAAGATCACGCCACTGTACTCCAGCCTGGGTGACAAAGGGAGACTCTGTCTCAGAATAAATAAATAAATAAATAATAAATAAATAAATAAATATAAAACATTACAGACCTAGTATTAAAATCCAAGTCTCCATTCTAAATCCATTTCAAAAGTCATAGGAAGTTTACAGAACTAAAGTTAAAATGTTAAAGATGGATGTAGCTCTAATCACTGTCCATGACTCTATTCTAAAGGATTAAATGAAGGGAAAAATAAGGTTTTATGAGATTCACTGTTAGTACGGTTTCAAGTTAATAGGGTTTTTTTTTCTTTTTTTTTTGGCAATCCTGTGCATAACAGATCCAAGTTAGATTTTGCAGATTTACTGTTTGAAAAGCCAATGCACTATACAGTCAAGTCAGCCCTCCATATCTATGGGTTCTACATCCATGAATTCAACCAACCAGGAATAGAAAAATTCTTTAATTGCATCTGTACTGAACATGTACAATTTTTTATTGTCATTATTCCCTAAGCATACAGTATAACAATGATTTACACTGTATTAGGTATTACAGTCTAGAGATTAAAGTATATAGGAGGATGTACATAGGTTCTATGCAAATACTATACCATGTTATACCAGGGACTGGAGCATCCTTGAATTCTGTCATCAGAGGAAGGTCCTGGAACTAATTTCCCATGGATACCAAGGGACAAGCATACTTGGAAACTGCTGTAACTACTCACATGAAATCCTATAATTGAAATAAACAATTCCAGAAGAACTACTTTGCCCCCAGGATTAAACTGTCTAAAATGCACGTTTATTAAAAATGAAGATAGCTAAGAAGCATGAATATATAATCATATCTTATGTTAAAAACTGAACAAACGCCTTCCAAGTTGCCTATTTTGAAAATTACTTTTTAGTTCAAAGGTTCATCTTAAATAACCACCCGTTATAGTAACCACCACCTCCAACAGACTATTTGGCACTGGGTTAAGCACTTTTAACACATTTGATACTTACAATAACCCTATCATGAACATATTATCAACATTTTACAGCTAAAATTTAAAACTTGCCTACCACCCTTGCCCAAACTAAATCTCTGTCCACATTACAGGAAAAATTATAACTTTTTATTGCAAATATACACGTTATATATAATAGCATAATAACACAAGTAGCCACACTGGTACATTGTTACATATATGTTACTATGCCTTAAGACATTTTTATAAACTGTAAAGCACTACAAAACACTTGTACCCTATCATCTGTTTCCCACGACAGCCTTGTTACAGATTATCACTACTGTATGAGGGCTCAAGGCTCAGAGAGCTTAAGTGAAATCACTCATTTGACTCCTCGTTCTTTTCCCACTACATTATATCCTCCTTATGATTAAAGACGCATTGCCACCACAATCAGAGCATCTTTGCAATGCCGCCACAATCAGAGCATCTTTGCAATAAAAGATAAAATGTACTAGAGATCCTAGATAAGTATCTTTCACCAGTTACATACTTCTCCAACAAGTTATTACAGTTACCCGCCAGCAGGATATCCAGCTAGCCTCTAAGTGGTTGTTTGGGTGCCAATTATAAAGTTGTATGAACAAGAGTTGTATGAATACTACTTTTTATTAAGCTAGTAGCTTAAGCAAGGGAATCCCCTAGATTCTACTTGTACTGATCAGAAGACCAAATCCAAGGTCAATCAAAAGTACATACTATCTTCTTGGGAAAACAGAGGATGTTAGTCTTTTATGACTTGAAAGTTGTTTCTAGTAACTACCATCAGACCATACATCACACAGCCATTTGTCTCAGAATAGGTAGTGAAGGTGGCTACTTAAATACACATATTTTTACAAAACTGTATCCAAGTTTAGCAATATGTGTGTACACCCAAGCACATAGAGACATGTTCCATAACTTAGAAAATCATTTGTAAAAGTTATTTTGGCCTTGCACTTCTGAATACTTCATGCTTCTCCATGCCCGTAACAGAATTGTTCTACTTCCTTTACTAATTGTTCTGCTTCTTTCTATAATATCTACCAAGTGTTATCCTAATGCCATCATATTTTCAGGTTGGTATTTTCTTCCTGCTATCCTTTTTTTCGGGGGGACAGAATTTTGCTCTTGTTGCCCAGGCTGGAGTGCACTGGCATGATCTCAGCTCACTACAACCTCTACCTCCCAGGTTCAAGCAATTCTCCTGCCTCAGCCTCCCGAGTAGCTGGGATTACAGGCATGTGCCACTGCAACCTCCACCTCCCAGGTTCAAATGATTCTCCTGCCTCAGTCTCCCAAGTAGCTGGGATTACAGGCATGTGCCACTGCAACCTCCACCTCCCAGGTTCAAGTGATTCTCCTACCTCAGCCTCCCAAGTAGCTGGGATTACAGGCATGCGCCACCACACCCGGCTAATTTTGTATTTTTAGTAGAGACGGGTTTTCTCCATGTTGGTCAGGCTGGTCTCAAACTCCTGACCTCAGGTGATCCACCTGCCTCGGCCTCCGAAAGTGTTGGGATTACAGGCGTGAGCCATCACACTCAGACTGCTATCCATTTTTAAAGCCGTAGAGAAAGCCCTCAAGTGTTCTGTATCACGCGTGGTGTGGAGGACTAACGGATAGGAAGAAACCAACTAGAGTAATGAATTAACCGTGGAATCAAGTTCAGTTATTCTATGTTCACATCTACATTCCTTAAAGTAAATAACTCGCAAATTTTCGAGCAAGTAAATAATACACCTGGACTTTGAAAACCCAAAATGTCTAGAAAATCAGAATACCATTACACTTTAAAAAGAAGAAAGAAAATAAAAAAGCTGCTTCACTGCACCTATCTGGAGAAAATCCTTGCTCTGTAAAGCTCTAAACCACCATTACCAAAAAAATGTTTAACGTCTACTCCTATGCCTTACATTTCTGGCTGTTAACTTTAAGAGCCTGCCAAACAGCTTTGCTGACAATTGTGTGTGTCAAACAGGTCTTCCAAATGACCGTTAACAATTTTTTAATACATCTTGCTATGAAGTTCAAATTTAAAAAACATATGTTGAACTTCAGCATCATCAAACTAGTTAACCAGTCTCCCCGTATTCTTAGCAGCTGCCTAATACCAACTGTGGAAAAAGCATAATTTTGGAAAAGGTCTAACAATTTCAAGAAAGTTACTTATACTTGTGAATATTCCAAAACTTTAAAGTTACAATACAGTCACAGAAAAACGAATCCTGAAATACACCTATGTGTACTTGACTTAAGGCCATGATCTTATTTTCACTCAGGGTTTCTTTTCCCTATAATATCTTTACTGTAAGGCAGCTCCTTCTCCCTAAATAATTTTGAAGTATTCCAAAACACTTTACTAAATAGATTTAATCATATCTACAGAATCCTATCAACTTTAAAAGCAAATAAAATGAGGGCTTATTGGCTTTCTAAAGATTCTACATTCCTAAAAGAATAAACACAAATCATCTTCCTAACACTAAACTACTAAAGTGACACTTGAGTCACCCCAACTTGGTGTTTGAAGCTTATTTCTCCAGGAAGCAGAGGGAGACAAACAGTTTCTACACAGTCAAAAATAGATGATTCCCTGTTCATTCACAGCCTGTTTCTTCTTACTTTAAACACAAATCTTACCAACTTCATTTAGTTTTTAACTCATTAATGAGTGACTCGGAGCAAATAAGCAGATATAGGAGCTGTTTTAGGCAATCATTTGCTAGGAATGGCTATCAAGTGAAGGTCTTCCTGCCCCGTCCTAAAAAATAAAGGACAAAAACCTATGAGTAGCAGACAAAAGCATTTATTAAATAATAAATGGTGGGCCCTATTTCAACAACAATCTGAAGAGTATCACCTCTTCTCAAGGTACCACAGCACAAAAACTTTGATAACCGTAACTGAAGTATAAATGTATGTTTCTTTTCATAAGGTAAATACACAGAATATTTTGAAACTGCATCTAAAACTCTTACCTCAAAAAAAAGGAAAAGAAGAAAGAAAAGAATACACACATCTTCCCCTAGAGTCCAACCAAAAGAGCGAAATTAATCCATCCGCATTCCAAAACAACTAATTACTTAAGAAATCCAACCAGCACAGATCTAAGGCGAAGCTTCTTCTTTGGTAGTATTTTATTCTACAGAGTGCTACCATTGTACAAACAGTTCTGTCAAGTGTTTTGGTTGGCAGACAATAATAAAATAAGCTTTATTTCCTTTTCTTTCTCCCTTAGCAAAACTCCGGTCTGTCATCACCTCTGACATGCGCCAAGGACTACCAGGAATGATGAAGTATATTTCAAATAAACTTTCCTATTAAAGCGAGTCCTTGTGGTTAATATCATACCAAAATGTTTTACATTGTATCCAGCAAAACCTTTACAGACTGTAAAAACAGGAATCTTAAGACCCGAGCTCGTATTTAGTGTATTTAATAATAAACTCTTATCTTGGTCGTACTTACCAAACCGTAGGCTTTTACTATTTATAAGCCTTTGAAAAAACTTTACGCCTTTCTTAAGTACCATCAAAATTTTCAATCAGGATTTCATGCGATCAATTCGCACCACAGTGCGAGATCAAATGCTAAACTCCTATAAATAGGGGTGTTATGAGTGAGAGGGATACACAACACTGCGCTGCCAACGCAACTGCGTCTTCAAGGGGGCAGGGGCGCTCCTGGTACACGTACAGTAGGAGCTCACATTCAGCAAAAGCAGGGAGTCAAGGATCAGGTGACTTCACACCACAGACACTTTCAGAGTGATCAGGCCTTACTATCGTCCAAACGACTCGTAAACGGCTCATAACCCCAGTTTGACCGAAAATCTGGACTTGCACCCTAGCCACGCACAACCCGCGCGAATGGGTTCGGGAGCCGAGGAGCCCCGAAACGCGAGCCCGGGGACAGAGCCCTGGCCTGCGGACTGCGGTTCCCTCCAGGAAGGGTGTCTAAGGAGCTTTCGGACCCGACAGCAAGGTGTCTGCTCCCCGCGCGACCTCCTCCTCCGCGGGGCCCATCGTGCCCCGGCCACCCCTTCCTCCCGGTCCGAGCGAGGGACAGCGAGCGCCCGCCAGCTAACGGGTCGCCCCGCCACGTCCGGAGCTCGCCGGGCAGAGCGGAGCCGCAGCCGACCTCCCCGCGCCCTGGGCATGCGGCCACGGCTCAAGGCCGCCCCCTAAGGTCGGGGCGGACACGGCTGCGGCCACGCGGCGGTCTGGCGGGCAGGGGGCCGGGCCGGGCGCAGACGCGCGCCACTGGTTCTCGCAGCAGCTACTGGAGCCGCGGCCCACGAGCAGCCCTTTCAGGCCGCGCGCTGCGGGAGCGCGGGGCGCGGCTGAGGCTAGGCCCGGCGGGCAGGCGGGGCGGCGGGAGGACACCTCAGCCAGCCGCGGACTCCGACCCCGCCGCCTGCGGCCGGTGCCCGCGAGCCCGAGCAGCAAGCGTCCTCTCCCCACCAGGGACCCGCGGCCTCTGCCCCGCTGGCCCGTACCTAGGGAGGTCGTGGACGAGACGTGGTTAACCGCGGCGCTTGGGTCGCTGGTCCGCCGCCGGCGCCGCAGCCCCTGGTGCGGTTGCTGCCCTCGCGCTGCCTCGTCCCCCTCCGCCATCTTGTACCGATTTAAAATTAACTCCCCACTGACGTCAAACGCCGCCGCCGCTTTATCAACCTCCCGGGAGCCGGCGGGGCGGCTGGCGGGTCCTAGCGCCTCCCTCGGCCCATATCTCCTCGCCCAGTATCTCCTCGCCCTCCCTCCGCCCCCGCCCCGCCCATCGCTCTCTCGCTCCGCCCCCGCCCTGCCCGCCTGCAGATCCGTCTCCCCGGCTCCAAGCTTCTGGTCGGACTGGAGCGGGGATGTCCCTGTTGCCGCCGTCTCACACCCCCACCTCCCTGAGCTCAGCACCACACCCCCTTAGCGCTGGGCCAGGCTGTGCAAACGCAGAAGGGATCTCCACAGAACTAAGTCCCTCCCTCCCAATTCGCTTTACATCTCTAATTGATTCGTGCGTCCTGCACGTGAGGTGGCTTTCGCACCACTTCTCTCCTTTTCATCGCCCCCTCCTCATCACAGCCATTCCCCTCCTCTCTCCCCACCCACCCCCCAAGATGTTGCCAGCGCCGTGCTTTTCCGCTTGATCTTTTCTCTCCTCACCCAAGTCCCTACTGCTGCTTCCCCTCCCCGCCACCATCCTAAGGTTTGTTTGCATTCGTTCCCCATCTACTTATGAGACCCTCCCCCATCTTCTCAACTGTGTATACGCTGGCCCTGTGCTCCTAGCACCTAGCAGAGGCAAGCCACAAAGCACTCTAATCGTAAAATGAATCGTGGCAGGTTCTTTCCTAATTGTGACGAACCTTCTTCTGGGGATCCAGTAACATCCAGTAGAAAGTTCAGGTCACTTTTTAAAATACAAGTCAGCCTGTGGAGGCGTCTGTGAAACATGATCCCTTTGGATTTTTACCATGCTTCCAGCTGCATTAGAAATTCCTCTTCTCCAGTAAAAACAGATGTCCGGGTGTACAAACAGCTGTTTTGTCCAGGTCTTCTCATAAGTCTAAAATTCACACCCTGCACGATCTCTAGAAAAGCATTGGTGTTATTGAAGCTTTCAAAATCCCATTTTAGGCAGGGCGTGGTGGCTCACGCCTCCTGGGTTCAAGCAATTCTCTGCCTCAGCCTCCCCAGTAGCTGGAATTACAGTCCCCCGCCACCACACCCTGCTAATTTTTGTATTTTTAGTAGAGACGGGATTTCACCATCTTGGCCAGGCTGGTCTTGAACCCCTGACCTCGTGATCCACCCGCCTCAGCCTCCCAAAGTGCTGGGATTACAGGCGTGAGCCACCGCGCCCGGCCCATCCAAATATATTTCAACAGAATATGGAGTTTGTTCTCATTGTCATATAAATCTAGGTGAATAACTATATACATGTTCTTGGCAATATTCTTTGAGTTACTACGGTTCTAGTTCTGGGACTTGAACCACCTCCACAATCCAAAGAACAGTTACCCTTCCCCCTCCTTCATATTGGTGACAGGCTCTTTATCAACTTGTTAAGTGATATTCCTCTTATGTCCTTGTGATATATGATTTGGAGAGCTCACTTTGTCAAGACATTTTCTGTTTTATCATTGGCCTGAAAAACATAGTATTGAAGAGGAAGAGGAAGAAGGAGAAGGAGGAGGAGGAGAAGAAGGGCAAACAATCTTCACAAGGATTGTTCTACAAAGATTTATTTGCTGTCATTTACTCACTAAACAACATTTGCTTAGGCACATGGAAAAAAGAAACCATTTACAAACAGCACAGCATATAGGCTGTTTGCTAAATTAAGGTTGATACAGTCAATGACAACAAAATCTACCTGAATCCTTACCAAACTGCAGTATTTACCTAAGCCAGATCACTCTCTATGCTTAGCATAGACACTCCTTTGGAAGATATTGAACATCTTACATGTAATAAAAGACCTTATGGTTTCTTTCACTGTGCCTTCGATTTTAAGGACTTCAATTCTATCTACTAATCTAGGCTGCCACCCTGTGTGTTTCGTGTTTTGCTTTGCTTTGCTCTTTTCTTTTTTTTTTTTTTTTTTTTCCTTGCCTATGTTCTTCTCTTTTTGGTGTTTTGCCTATCTTGTCTCCCAAACCCACTCTCTCCCCAATTTGTGGTTACTATACCTGAATCAAGAGAAGTCAAACCCTTATTGAAAAAAAAAAAACCAGGCTTGGTGGTTCATGCCTGTAATCCCAGCACTTTGGGAGACCAAGGTGGGAGGATCACCTGAGATCAGGAGTTCAAAACTAGCCTGGCCAACATGGTGAAACCCCATCTCCACAAAAATAGCAAAATTAGCCAGGCATGATGGCGGGTGCCTGTAATTCCAGCTACTTGGGAGGCTGAGGTGGGAGAATCACTTGAACCTGGGAGGCGGAGGTTGCAGTGAGCTGAGATCATGCCATTGCACTCCAGCCTGGATGGCAGAGTGAGACTCCATCTCAAAAAAAAAAAAAAGGCTGACCCTGGGTACACTGCCTATGAGTTAGCCCTGCTCCGCGAGAAGCGATACCATTCAAAAAAGATTGCTGCCTGACACCACCAGCTCAAAAAACAGAATTAATTAATTCATTTTTTGCTGTCCAGAAAAAAGTCAGTGATTCCTAAGGAAATTTTTTCCCTGCCACCTCTCAGGGAGACATTCCTTCTTATAAGTCTCCTATGGAAAAGCACAGGGTACTGAGAATATGAGAACTGACAAGAACTTACCCTAGATCATTTTAACCTTCATAGAGATGGTGTAAGATAGAAGGAATGGGCCGGGCGGCGCGGTGGCTCATGCCTGTCATCCCAGCACTTTGGGAGAACGAGGTGGGTGGATCCCTTGAGCTAAGGAGTTTGAGACCAACCTGGGCAACATAATGAAACCCTGTCTCTACAAAAAATACAAAAATTAGCCAGGCACGCACCTGTAGTCCCAGGTGCTGAGGAGGCCAAGGTGGGAGGATTGCTTGAGCCCATGAAGTCGAGGCTGTAGTGAACCAAGATCATACCACTGCAACCTACCTGGGTGACCCAAAAAAAAAAAAAAAGATAGAAGGAAAGGTCCCCCCTGTGAGAGGCAGCAATTTAGATATCCATTTGTGGCAACCACTCTCTTGCCTGGGGTGATATCAGATGGATAGGGCAAGGTTAGAGTAGGGAAAAGCCAAAGACAAATATAAAGCAGTGTTGTCAATAGAAAAGGTGCTGGATATTGCTGAGGCTGAAATGAGATAAACTACACTCTCTGAGAATGAAAAGGGCTGTTTATGTTGCGGACAAATCGCATCTCTGCAGACCTTGTTATCTTTTCAGTGATGTGTTTCCTGAAGTTTTGTTTAAGCTACACCCTGCTTGCAAACTGTTGCTCCTGAAGATATGTATTTTCTTGTGCAAGAATGGTTTACAGAAATGAAGAAGTTGTTTCTCTGAGACTATGTGGAGTTCTGGACACAGGCAGAGCTGCTTCAGGGCCCAGGTTACAAAAAGCAGAACAGGGCTGGTAAATTGGCCTCAGAGACCTGAAGCACTGGAGGTACTACAAAGCAATGTACTTGACCCAGTCGCCGATATTCTCATGATGGACTCTGTAGGCTCCGTTCATTGACCTGAGGGATAGAGACCATTGATTTGTCCCAGAACTTGTACAGTGACTGTGGCTAATGAACTGATTTGCCACAGGCGAGGCTTCCTGTGGGGGAGGGGCCCGGGAGGAAATATTTTGTAGGGAAAGAGGGAAATCGGAGTTTCTGCTGGAGTAGATGTGAACAAGAAAACGGACTCTGGTCTTGGCTTTCTCTTTGTACTTGAAAAGTAAGTAAATAGAAGAGAATAGCATAGGGACTCTGGGTTATTGACTGGCAGAAAAATTTTATTTATATCCAAAGCTAGTGATTCAGGGTCTAAGAAGACCTTCTAAGAGAGATCAAATTAAGAACATCAAGAATTGCTGGGTACGGTAGCTCACGCTACTTTGGTACCCCAAAGTGTTGGGAGGCCAAGGGGGGTGGATCACAAGGTCAGGAGTTTGAGACCTGGCCTGGCCAACATGGTGAAACCCAGTCTCTACTAAGAGTACAACAAGTAGCCAGGCATGGTGGCACGTGCCTGTAATTCCCGTTACACAGGAGGCTGAGGCAGCAGAATTACTTGAACCAGGGAGGCGGAGGTTGCAGTGAGCCGAGATCCCACCGCTGCACTCCAGCCTGTCTAGAGAAAAAAAAAAAAAAAAAAAAAAAAACAAGAAAGAAAAAGAACATCAAGGGTTTCTGGGGCTAATATTTGTTGTAGGAGCCTGGACATGGGCGCATACCTCTCTTCAAAGGCATGTATTAGCCCCATATGAAACACTGTGGGTAGATGGGTTTCTGCCTGGGTTTACTGCTTAATATTAGGTGTTCTTTTTTTTCTTTTCCTTTTTTTTTTCTTTTTTTTTTTTTTTTGAGACAGAGTCTTG